GGTGAAAATTTCATGTCATTAGCACCTCTAGTAATATATTTACTGAGAAAAATGTTGACGTGTTCAATACTTATTTTACCCGCTGTATATCAGATCATATTTGTTTTTTCAGGGAGATTTGGTGAAGCTGTTTTCAGAACGTGTTTTTGTTCAGTATTTTTTTATGAAGTATCATTTGGTCATTTTTGCTGCTGTAAACAAAAAAAACTTTAAAGCGTTAAAAGCGTTTTAACAAACTTAAAAGACAAAGTTAAACATATGAGTTTTTTTCTCCTTTTTGGTTTAATTTAAAAAAAATAGATGTTGAGGATAAAAGAAGAGCCGACGCTGACAGTTTGTGTACTAAAATAAGGTTATTATTTACTTAAAAATTGGACAGACTTAATATGAGTTTTTCTCTTTCCTGGTAAACTCAAAAGGCACCAAACCAGATGGTGTACAAACAACAACAACACAACAACAATAAATGTTTACATTTGAGAGATTTTTCCTATGCTGCGTTTTAACTTTTACACAGGAAGCAGTGTGAGCTGCAGCGAGTGCATCACCCTGCTGCTCGCCGTTAAAGGAGCAGTCACATTAACTGTTGGCCTCGCTGCATCAGCACACAAAAAACTTTGATTCTTTCATCAAAACATTCAATTGAAGAACTTTGGAGTGTAAATAAAGTGGATTTCATGTTTTAAACGGGGCACTTTATGTTCTGAAACAGTAATTAGAGCTTGTGTAGTGACCACACTGCCAGCTGAGGTCATGTGACGACAACTTCCTGCAACACTCATTAGAGTCAACGTTTTCAAACTTTCCTTTTAACCTGATCTCATTCAGAACATTATTCCTATATTTAGTTTTAACCTGAAAGCATGTTTAAGTTAATCTGAACATCTGAACACAAAACAAAATAAAAAAGATTTAAAAAGATGGGTTTTCACCACTGCAACATGTAACCATCTGAAAGAGCGGGATGTGTAGCCCCGCCCTACCCAGAAGCTCCGCCCCTACACGTACCACGGGATCCCGGTGAGACAAACAGGAAGTGGACAGACAGAAACAGGACGGCAGACGTCTCTCGGAGAAGCGGGCTGGACTCGGGTGAAGCTCAGCGTCTAATGAACATTTATTTACAGCTCTTGTTCTCAGAGTACCTTGTTCAGTTTAGAAAGAACCTACTGGAAGATGGAGATATATTCCTTTACGGCAGGAGAACTCAGTCCTGAAAAGAAGAACCAAAAGAAAAAAAAACTAAACTCTGCTGCTTTACTCCGTTCATCTCGTCTCATTTAAAGGGTTTTTATTGTCCCGTTTGGCTTTCACAGAAAGCGTCAAACCCAGCCAACTTGTTCCGAGAGAAGAACTCAAAAGAGGAAAAGGAGGCGGCGGCACACAGTTCAGCTCTGAGGAAGGTTCTTTTCTCTCATCTCCCAGTTTCTCCTCCTCTTCCCGGCTGGGAGAAGAGAATCCGGTCCGGTTTGGTTCGAGTTCACAAAGATGGATGTATCTGTCGGAGGCAGAGGAAGGGGGGGGGGGGGGTCAGATCTTGATGTCCTGGGACTCCACCATCTTGGCGAGCGTCTTCTTCACTCTGAGGATGGTGAGGCGGGAGGCGGGGTTATGGGCCCAGCACTCGGACATCAGCTTCAGCATGGCTCGAAGGCACTGCAGAAACAGCAAACAGGTTTTACAAACACAACTGTCGTTTAGAGCTCATCTTAGCTTTTTAAAGCCGACTGGATCAATTCTGCAGGTTTTTATTGTTGAAAACAAGAGAAGAAATAAGACAGGAAAGATTTTGAAGCAGTTTTTTTTTGTTAAAAGTGAGTTTAAAGGCTGGAGTTAAATCTTGCAGCAGGTGGACAGTGTTGGACTTTCTGCTCAGTCTCACCTCGTCACTGTTCCAGCGGTTGGACACGGTGGGCCGAAGTCCTTTAACACAAACCACCTCCAGCATGTCTTCAAAGGAGGGGTCAGAGGGCACCATGTCGTAATACGGCAGCTGGTAGTCCTCCACCATCCCTGCACACAGACACACACATTCACTCAGCTTCTTCTGTTCAACATCTACCATAAATGATCTGTGTTGAACACGTTTCTCCTTCCTCAAAGGATCAGATTAACATTTCTGATAAGACAAATGATTAATTAGACAAAACACAACATGGATCCTGTCAACCAGCTAACCATTTTCACCATTAAAGCCAGCCTACCTCATCAATCTGTGTCTTTAATTATTGAACTTACGCCATATTTTTCCCTCCTGCATTCATCATGTTTTTGTGTATTATTGTATAATTTGCGCTGCATTGACCTTGTGTTTGATTTACAATTTTTAGAAATTTTTTCTTGATTTGATGTTTCAATTTTTCATTGTTTATGTTTAATTGTTTTTCCGTTTCATCTTACTCTTTCCACCATTTTTATACTGTTAATGATTGTACAGCACCTTGTGAATATATTTCTGTGAAAGGCGCTTTATAAATAAAACTTTACTTACTTACTTACTTAATCAACAGGAACAAAGTTAATTTTTACTTGAAACCCACAACAAGACTTCATCTGATGACTTCCAGGTTACAGTTTTAAATAACATTTATTGTCATTTATTAGTCCCAACACAGACAGACGAGTGATTGAGTGTTTTGTTAAATCAAGGTGCATCTGGTAATTTCTGTTTAGATTTGAAAACAACATGTAGAACTACTAATCAGGTTCATAGTTTTTTTGTCCCGAGTTGTTAAAAGAAATTATTACAAAATGACAAACTGCTGAGTGTCAACACTTCTGTCTGCTGCTGACCAATTAACTCCTTCACTAGTAAAGGGATTCATGATTAGTTGTAGCATTTGACTTTATTTAATAAACATATATTTTAACTGTAAAATAAAGACTGTAAAAACACTGTAGCTGTTTAGTTTTGTAAATTTTTAACACGGACGGAGCCATTTAAATAACACACAAAGCATTCTGGGTAAATGATGACATCGGTGCGAGGCTGCTAGCGAGCTATATCCACCCTGAAGGTTAATCTTGGACAATATCTGATGATCGACTCTTTTAAAT